AGATATTATTGCCCTGTATTATATTAAAAAAAAAGTTAAATAATGAAGAATCTTCATGAATATATGTATGTTTTTTGCATTGTGAAAAAACAGCGATACAGAGAGTTATCAAACTATAAACTACGTAGTACTCCACCCAAATATAGGATTGTGGAAGCCCGAATCTTGAACTTCGATATTTTTAAATCTCTATTTCATATTTTTTAAACTTTAACGAATTTTTTATTAAGAAACTCAATATTTCCAAAGCGAGCAGTGCAACACACTGTGAGGAATAAAATATTTTTATCCCCAGCTCGCTATCAGAAAATCTAAAGATATGCTGTTTTTAAATACTATTTAGCCCAAATGCTCTCGAAACATGTATGTATGTGTGTAAAAATAAATAAATAAAAAATAAATAATAAATAAATAAAATAAAATAAAAAAATAAAATAAAAAAAAAACCGCCTCTTTGGGCGTAATATAATATCTGAAAGCTTTCGAATTTGGTAAACGTTTACAATTGGGTGCCCCTTGTTTTTTGGGGATTTGTTTTTGACGCCAAGATCGGCGCCAGGAAGGCACAATTTCAAGATGGCCGCTACACAAAATCAAATTAAGAAGTCAAAGAATTGCACAAACTCGGTGTCCATATACACATCGTTTTATTTTCACTTAAAAAAATCAGGAAGCTAAAATCAAGTTAAATCTATCATGGTAACCAGAAATGGCGTTTCGTCGCCAAAATTGAACAAAGTTTGTCGCCAGCCGAAGGGGCACCCAGTTCTACACTAGACCCCATTTTTTTTTTTTTTTTTTTTTTTTAAACTTTAAAAAAAAAAAAAAATTACGGTATATATTATCTCATAAAATACACGTGTTAAACGATTGTTTGTGCTATTGGTTAAGATTCTGGACAACAGAAATTAATTAATTATCTAGTTAATAGTTAAACGAATGTTATACATATGGTGAAGGTATACAAATATTGTACGTAGATTTTCATAGAATGGAGAAGCGGCATTTCTAATCTTCGCATTATTCAAGTGTCAACAGATGTATACGCAGATTCCTTTCGGAATATTTTATTACTACAAATCTTTTATTCTAATTATCCTATAAATCAAAATTTTAATCTGCAAACTCTGATAAGTTTATAACAATTTTTAGATTTTAACCTGGAATTTTGAGGATCAGAATTTAGAATCAGGAATTAAATTAGAATTCAAAGGTCAGGTTCTTTTACCTCTTCTGGCCATACGCACAAATCGCAAGTGCAAATTTTCCAAACTAGCATGCTAAGTGAAATAACTAACAGTCCATGTTTAATGAGAAATGCAACTAAATTCACAAGAATAATTGGAATAGGTACGCTTTTAAAATTTTTGACAAAACTTCATAAGCAAATTCTGTAATAACTGGGAGAACAATGGAAACAGTGAATTTCTTATCCTAGACCATACCTATAATTTACTTAGGAGCCCTGAGGTAAGAAGGATCCTTAAGGCCCTTTAAACAACTTTACCCCTATCTAATTTCTTCAACATTTTATCTGTGAAATTATTCGAATTTAATAGCATCAGAAATATTTATAATGTCTTTTCAAGACTTTACATTACGTTATGTTACCTTACGACTCGTGCAAAAGCATCTATCATCTACATGGCATAGCAAATAGCTAATTCTCTAAGTGTTGGTATTTGATGTTGCATGTAACCTTTATGCTTATCTTTCAAACTATAAGCTCAACAGACTGAACGATTTAAAAACATTACATTTTATAATAAATATAATTCTTGATAATTTATATCTTTATTTTTAATATTATATTTAATTAATATAACTTACAATACTTATACAACTAGCAAATTTATGAACATATCCACCGTAATTGTAATTAATGTAAGGTGATTCTAAAACCATATATATTAAGTATCTCGATACAGAATAATCATTTGTTTTATTTCTTAGTTAGACTACAGCATCTCAGTGGACAGGAACTTTTTAGAAATGTCGCAAAATTTTTTAATTAACAATTCCCCGTTTAATAACTCTGGAAAGATCTTTTCTTTTTCTTTTACACCCATTCTTCTTCTCCTTTATGCTTTGAAGTTTTCGTATCCCAGTTTTTATTATATGTATTTAAATGCCTCGCGTTTCCTTTTTCTCGTAATGTTGTTTCTCACTCCTTCGTAGGTATTATGCTATTTGTTTGAGCCATTTTTCATTCCTTATCATTTCATATATGAACTTTTGCCCTCAATGCTGTTTTCTCTAAATGTGCCAAGCTAAATTTCTTCGTCATACAGAGATAAGCCCAGCAAGGCCGCAAGCTCGGAAAATGATTTAACTTGTAATAATTGCCCTCCTTTCCTTTTACCCCATCAGCATAGCGTAGTTTGAAAGCTTTTTAACAGCAGTTTTAACTAATGTTATCTGAAATGCAGCTGTGAAATAGAAATGCAGAGATTCTCAACTAAGGAACAAAAAAGGAAGATTTTATACGTTTCAGCTACAGAAAGGGTGGTTAAAAATGTTGCAAGACTTCGTGAGTGGGCGGAAACTTTTGGGTTTGGTTCAGTACATCTAAAAAGGCAGGGTCTGAGTACTTAAACAGAACGGGAAAGATGAGAATACAAGAGGAAAATACCCTATCAATAAAGCGTAACTGAAACTGGAAGCCAGTAAGTGTGAAGCGTAAAAAAGCAGACAAGGGTCTGTTGCGTTTTAACTAAGTAAATCGGGTCGCTACGCTGATAGCAGTATAGATTTCTGTTCCATAAATATATTTTGCCATTTGCAAAACCTGATGGCTATTGTATTAAATAGGTACACATAAAATATATTAGATTAAAAATTGATTACCATTTTAATTATCAAGATTTTTAATACAAAAATTCTAAAATTTAGTGTGAACTTTATTATAAAATTTAGTGTGAAATTTTAATCTTTCGAACGATAACTTAAAAGACCATTACGTATTTTAACTCAAAACCAAAATAAGCTTTTATTAAAAATGAATGCAATTATTGCAGTTTCAGTTAAGTTAGATTATCTATATCATTAAGTAGCTGACCCGGGTGCCACATTCTTAATCTTCTAGAGATATCTTAGCGTTTGGTGTTTAATGTTTATTTACGTTAATGAGATTAAAATGACAATCCCTTTGCTTTGATTAAAAATGTTCTGAAAAAATTTGAGCTGCTGTGTGAGATACTAAAACAACAAAAATCGGCGTAAGTTGAAAAAATTTGCAGGTCTAGTTTTGAAGGTTTGAACGGAATTTTCTTCTTCAACTGCAGGAATGAACATGACGAAGAAGAAGCATGTGCTTATGCGATAATAATAGACTAGAAAATTCGAGAACTTTCCCATTAAGGAAAAACAGAGCTATTGGCGTTGAATAATAGCTTCAGTTCAAACCTTAAATATTAAAATAATATTTAAGGTTTGAAATTAATTAAATAAATTTATGCAGTTTGCACTAATACTTGTTGTTTTAGTATCCCCAAGATTTGTTCTTGGCGTACTATTTTAGTTAATAGTTGAACTATTATTTAAATATATTTTATCAAATTATATTGTGAAATATAAGCATCGAGATTCAAGAGTTCTAGTTATGTAATTTTTTTACTCAGTTGCGAGCTTAAACTGAGCCGGAGCCACCAGGGAAAAGAAAACTTCTCCCTGGTGGCTCCGGCTCCAGGGCAAAAAGTACGAAAATTCAGTTATGCCTTAGCCGGAATTCGAACTCCAGACTTCTTGATTGCTAGCCGAATGCGCTACTACTATTTACACTTCAAAGGCACGCATTGAAGAACGAGAAAATTCTTTATATCTTGTCAGTTTAGTTATATGAAATGAATCATCATAGTTTATGCTATCATGATGCAATTCATTTCTGAATTGGAATGCCCTTTTACATGACAGGTTCACATTAAATATTAAATCGAAATTCAGTATAACATTATGTCAGAAACAATTCCTCTGACTCTGTATTCATCTTCCTCTGACTCTTCAGAACAGTAGTGTTATTTTAATCTTTCGTTCTTCATTTTACATAATCTGCTCTTACTCAGAAATTAGAAATTCGATTATTTAAAACCTTTTAAGCTTCAACTTTCTCATCTTTCTGTACGTATTTTTATAAGTTTTTTTTTTAGTTATGTTTTGGAAAAAAAAGAAAAAAAAAACTGTATGTCTGAAGGGATTTCATCAAGACCCGATGCTGTTATTTCTTCTTCGGTTACAAGTCTCTTTTTATAGATTACTGGAGATAATTTTCCAAGAGATGAGTTAGAATTAAACCTTTGACTTCAGTCCATGCCATAGAAATGCAACTAACCTGTATCACCATTCATAAGTTTCTTTCAAAAATCAGCAAATTCTCTTCCATTTTCAGTTACCAGTTTACAAAGACCTTTTCGACATAATCCACGGATAATCCGCTCATGAATGAGTACTCGGTAATTCTGTGTAGTGCGAATACGGTAGAGGACAACTAAACAATTATAAACCAGGGCTTCTTTTGGATCTCAGCGAATTGTTTCTAACATTTACTAATAGCAAATTTCTTCAGAAACAGAATGACATCGATTTCGAAAATTTTTTATTAGCCTCTCTATAATTCCCAAGCCTCAACCTCATAGCGAATGACTTAGCAATATTTTTTTGGGGAAAGGGGGATTGCTTTTTAAGATTTAAGACTAACAGTCACTTTTGTTGTGGTTATTCATTGATACACGTCTTAAGACAAACTTTAAAACAATTGAAAATTAACAAGTTAATCATTTTTATGCTTTTAATCATTAATGCCAAAGAATATTTTGACCTCAATTATGAATTATTAACGATGATTTAAAATCTCATGCAGTTCCGTAACATTTAATATACTATTATATCTACATTTAAGTTTTCTTTCATTCATTGATTTTCCCCTTGATATTTTTAATCTTCCGGCATATAATTAAATTTTTTTCTCATGAGGTGGTGATTCAAAAATAAATTCTTTTCCATAGGCATATCCTAAAGGCTATTCGGTGAGGCTACAGTTGCTTCGACTTGCTGTCACTACCGGAGTTCTGGCTATTACCATCATTGGAACATTCATCCTGCTGTCATTTTATATTCGCTCCACACAGTGTTCCTGTTCGGTAAGTTTGTTTCACATTTAATGCGCTCCAAAGTGAACACAAATTACTTCCTCCTCATCCTATATGGATCGGGATGTTTATGCGATGAGCTGATAGTAATTTTTTACTACAGCAAAAATTTCATTTGATTCACATACAACTTTTTACGATTAAGAAAGCTTTCTATGATTAAGATATTGACTCTATGCATCATAAATGTCAACATTTCTGTTATTTTTTATATAGACTATTATATTTTTGTAATATTCTTATTATACCTATCAGAGACTTATTAAAAAATAAACAATAAGCTGCCAATGTCTGTTCAAATTGAGAGGATGGTACATATTTTAGAAATACAAATAATCAATACTTCAGGCTATTCTTCAATAATTTGTACAATTATGTAGAGTGCAAGTACGATATAAATGGATAAATTAGTAAAATAAAATATTACAAGCCTTACTCAAGGAACATATACCCCCTTAAAAATATCATGCAATATTAAGTAAACCATCTTTACCTGTTAGTAACTGTAGTTTAGATTACTGATTTAACTTCGTTAAATCAAACATACTTTCAAAAAAAGTTTTTAAATTTTTCTGCACATTATTCCATAAGTAAGGTCTTGAACACTGGATTCCCATACGCCTCGAATGAGAATTAAGTATTATTTTTAAGCATGATAAATCAGCCTTAGGAAGATACTGCATTAAAAGATTCCAATGTATATGCATTTTGCGAATTTTATTTTTTAAATGCATAAAAGAAGATAAATAAATTCGCAGCATACCATGGTATCGAATATAAAAGAAATACAAGTATATTTTTATATACGTATATCACTTCATTTATATGTAACGACAATCTATCCTATTTATTAAAAAATTTAGGATGCATATTTCTTTTACTTTACTAAATATTAAATTTAACCTCGTCTGTTGCATAGAATATACTAAATTTAACTAGTTAGTTTCCGGATTAAAAATTAGTTTTCCTTTTGTTTCTGCATATGGTGAACACACGACACGAAATCTCAAGTTTGATTTTTTTTTTTCCGGTCATGTTTTTCCTAATTTTTTTTAAGTTTGGAGGATGATATTTACAAACACTACAGATATTACAGACTAGTAGCAGACAGCGGGAGATATAGCAAGGTAGATGCAACAGATTATTGAACGTCCGATGTCATGTTTTAACATGGCTGGATAGATGAATGAATAAACAAGTTCTCTATATATACGACGACCATTAGCGCTTGCTCATCGGAGATTCCGGTTTATTTGATGAATATAAGAATTGAACGAAACAGGACTGGAGTCTAGCCCTTTACCGGATGACACCAATTTAGTCTGACGAGCGATTATGGGCATATACATTTGGAGCGATATACATTTGAAGAGAGAAGGGAACATGCAATCGTCCCTCCAACATCATCGAAAAGTACCGCTTAGAAGGTGCCGTTCTCGTTTGGAGAGGTATCATGCTTGGCAGCCACACTGACTTTCACATCTATCAAGGAGTTTCCGTCATTGGTGTCCGCTACTGTACGAAGCTACTCTTGCCTGATGTGCGCCTGTTTAGAGGTGTTGTGGGTCATGAGTTTCTCTTCATGGACGACAACGCTGCAATCTTATCGTATAGTAGCTGTCGCAGAGCTCTTGCAGCATGAAGATATTCAACGCTTGGATTGACCTGCTATTCCCTGGACATAAAACTCATAGAATATTTTCAGGGATATTCTCAGGAGACGCTTGGCAGCACATGACCAGCCGCCAGCAACGATTCCGTATTTGAAAATAACGCTACAAGAAAAATAGACCATGATGCTTCAACAGTTCCTTAGCAACCTTGTCGTCAGCATGGGCAGAAGTTGTAATTTCTGCATCACAGTCAAGGATGATCATATTCTTTTCTAAAGACTGTATTTTTCTTGCCAGGCAGAAACATACCATGGACGTTTCTCTTCGTCTCTCTGTCCTGTCTTCTGTCCAGTTGTGCTCGGAGTTATCTTTTCAAAAAAGTGCCTATTTATCTTCTTTTCCTTGGTTAGGTGTTTCCTTCTTAGATGTTTGTGGTCGTCTCATACTTCCACATCTTGGGGATCTTATGCTATGATTTGAGTCGATGTTGATCCTTCTGCACTACATTGCATTAGAAAACCCGTCTCGTCCTTAAATATTTTACATCAGTGTATTATCCTTTCCTATCTTGCTCAGATTCATTATTCAGAGCATTCTAAGTATTTATTTCATCTTCAGCTTCGTTTTGTTTAATTATTTCTTAATAATTATTTTAATAGTTAACAAATTTTTGCATCGGTCAAGCTTTTAAATTTTAGTCTGTTTACAAAAGCAAACTCTATTAAAATGTACTGGTATTTCTTAATTATTTATTCATGTAAATATTGATAATGTTGATAATTGACATTGTTGATTATGCGAAACTGCTAAAAAAGGGATAAATGAAAAAATTACGAGGCGAAAGTGATAAACCTTTAAAGAAATATAAAACTGAAACCGAAATTTTATTTAAAATCCAAAATAAGGTCTTTGACTGTAGAAACAAACTAACAGAAGATATACTTACACCACACGGTGCGTGGTGTATAAATTGAACCTGTAGCTTACACTACTTAATATATTTTTGAAACAAAGTAAAAATATTAAAATTGTAACTAGAACAAAAACCATAGTCAAGTAATCTAACTGAAGGTCAGATAAGCCATAAATTCTTCTATCTGCATTTGTATCGCTATTTAGTATGAAAAAACTTCAAGCAGTGCATAAAATACGCAGCTCGGTAGCTCGAAGGTAAATTAGAAAACAAATTTAGGACTTCCAAAATCAATAAAATACATAATGAAAATCAGCATACCAAAAATATTTTCTTGTTTTCACATTTTTGTATAATCATACACATGTCAGTCATAATAAATGAAGAAAATTATCCTGCACATCGAAGCATATACTTAACATTTTATAACTTAAAACTACAATGATAATTACATTATCATACAGAGTACATCTATGAAGTTCTAAGATTACCTTTTTAACAAGTTCCAGTAAATTTACCAAACGATAACTGGGAGCATTTATTACTATGAAATCTCAACATGCTTCTCCTAAATTAGAGTGCGCTTATGGACAAAATTTCCAATGCAATTAACAGTTTGCTTCGATTAAGAGAACATCTTTTATGGATTCGAAAGCTGAGTAAGAAAGCATTAAAGCCTTAAAGTTTTCTTGTAAGCGGGAAAAAGAGCAATAGAGATATCTAAAATGTTATATAAAGTATACGGAAATGATTATTACTATGATAGTGATATTTTTCACTGGCAAGGATGATTTCATTGGTAGATGTGTAAATATTGATGATGAACTCCAGGATTGATCGCAGTTTACAGTCTGAAATGGATGAGAACAACAAAGAGTTTCAGTTTGTATTGAAAAATCATCACTTATCTATTCCAATGAGCTCTGGTCAGCTTAACACTGATAAAGACATTATTCACAAAATTGTCATGGAAGGTCTTGAGAAAAAGAACTTTTTCCTCTCGGTCTGTACCTCACGCATTAAATGCAGAATAGAAAGAAGGTCGAATTTTTGTATGCGATGATTTGATGCAAATGGCAATGATTACTCGTGGCCTTTTCTAATATATTATATTAAACTTGGTGCTCTGTTTATGATCCTGAAATAAAAGGGAAATAATTTGCTTGTGCTAGAGAAGATTCACCACGGTCATAGAACTTCGGTTTCAGCCATGTTTGTGACTTTTATTTTGATTGGAAAAGGATAATTCACAAGGATGGTTTTCTTCAGAGACAAACAGTTAACTCCATATTTTATCAAAAGGCAATGGACAAACTTCTGAAGAGAATTAATCTCATTAGACCTGAATCGAATAACGGTTTCTAAAGTGAAAGACAATGAAACTGCAGTCGCTCAGATGGTATACTGGTTAGTACCTACTACGCTACCGAAGTACCCAGTTTCGAACTCCGGAAAAGATATGGATGTTTGTAAATGTATACTGTCGCTGCGGCATAGCGGCACTCTAAATATGCGGCGAGCCGAAAGTCCTCTCGTGTGGATTGGTGGGAGTGCAGAGGGGTGAGAGACCTTCGGATCCCAACCCGGGGTGCTCTTCCTCAAAATTGGGGTGAAAAATAGAAGTCCAACTTCTCTTCGGAGTAGGCTCTGGCAACCATTGTTCCATGTAATATGGACACGACGACAACAACAATAAAACAAAAAAAAAAAAAAAAAAAAAAAAAAAAAAAAACAGAATTAAATAACTGATTTCTAGTGCAAGACAATCGTCGTCCGACGATTTCATATGCCCAGTAGATTCCAGAAAAAAAAAAAAAAAAAAAAAAAAAAAAAAAACTTTTTTTTTTTTCATAGAAAGTTTGAAAGTTTCCAGCATCTTCTTATTAGAGCCACTAGACTACTTTCTCCTTCTCCTTCCTAAAGTCTCACTTCAAAGATTTTTCTAAAGATTTTTCAGATCGATTACAAAGTTTTCCTATTTAAGTCTCACTTCAAAGATTTCAATTTTAATAGATTAAAGAAATTCAGGAAACCGTATTACATCGTAGTGTTAGACAGCATACCTAAAGCTGAGACTACGAAGGAATCAAAGTGGCTGCATAAAATTGCCAAGTATCGCATATACAAGTGTTGTTACTTGAAGCTAAGAGATAAAAATCTTGTTTTCTTTCTTTAACTTTCGATTTCGTACGACTTACTTCGGGTATTATCTTTATTATCTTTACAAACTTCTCGTAATAAAATTCAGTATAATGTTACGAATTTTGTACATATATAAATAAATTTAGTAAAATTATATATGTGAAACTATTGTATTTGGTTCTATAATGTAACATGAAAATCTTAAGAAGCGAAGCTTTCCAGAAAAATAAAAATACAGGGGCAAGTCTAATTAACATCTAATGAATGCTTATCTCGCTAAATTGATGAGATATTGCGAAGCTGGTGATGATTTTCGCAATTAATTTTGGAGAGATATCGCGAAAATTCAAAAACATTAGCGACCATTTGGTGATATATTGCTTCGGTCTTTGTATAACTGTAATGGGTATTATAACTGAATAACTGTAATTGATAATATATCGAGCTTATAACCGTATCCGGATCTCATATGCCTTCCAGTAATTTCGAGAAGTAATAGAGATTTCTCGGCGGCTGGGAGAAAACTGTATAAGACCGGAGAGAGCATTAGTTTGGGAGTGGTAGGTATTTAATTCAGTGTCAGTTCGAAGTATTCAGATAGCTTCGCTCTTTAGATGCTCTTTGCACGGCGTTGTGTTTAACGTTCTTAGTAGTTTGGGGTGTAACTACTACCGCTTGTACCCTGTGATACTCTGAAGAGCTGTGGAAAGTTCCAGACCTGTGAAGAGTTTCTTTTGGTAAAATAAATTTTATCATGCTATCATCAGTTCTATGCGCATTTAATCTAAAATGAACCCGTAAGCACACAACAATTTTTGGTATTAGAAATTTAATTGAATGTCGGTGATAACAGCGATGGATGAACAACTAAGAGAGCTGGTGACTACTTTTGCTGCATTCTAAGAAAAGATGGAAAGGCCCGTGAACTCCGTTAAAGAGGAGAGGAAAGCTATTAAAGGAAAGATGGAAGTTTACCAAGATTCCGTTAAAGGAGATATGAAAGCTTTTCAAGAAAAGATTGAAACAGATCGAGAGGAAATGAAAAGAGAAATTAGAAGAAAGAGAAATGAAAGAGCTGCACAATAGAAAACAGAATTGAGGCAGTGGAAGGCAGAACAGACACGGTTGAATATAAAATTAGAGAAACTGAAGGAAGAGTTTTTGCTGCAGAACAACAGATCGGAGAAAGAGTTACACATGTCGAACAACAAATAGAAGAAAGAATTTCTTCCGTCAAAAAATAAAAAGAAGAGTTTTACTGTCGAACAACAGATCGATTACAAAGTTTTTGCTGTCGCCAAAGAAGTTGACAGCTTAAAGAAATTCATAGCGATTTGCAGGAAACAATTCTGACGATTTAAAATTTTTACCCATACCTTCTCGACCTCCTCTAAGCTATCCACTAATGATGGAAAGACTTTCTGGCAAGTATATAAGACACCGTTCTCTATAGCTATTCTTATCATAAATAGATTTCTACCGGTTAACTGGAAAATATTCAAAACTGAGTCTTTGAACAAAGAGGAACATTTGTACAGCCTGCAACAGGCCAATTCTTTGTTATGCAGCCCCCCCGCAAGGAACAGCGCCACAGATCGACAAATTCATCAACTGCAAATTGTACAGAATAAATTTCTTAGCATTATCATTGATGCTAATTTCTTAGTTACAAATGTTCTTCTTCATAAGGACTCAAAATTGAGGATATTAAAATTCTTCGAAGAACAAACGATTGCTTTTTTTAACAAAACGTTTGCTTTTTTTAACAATTCAGTGAGTATGTAAATTATTCGCATATCTTCTGTTATGAAATTTTGCATGAAGATAAGTACACCAGGCCTCTTGCTACTCATCTCATCACTGACAACGACCACAACTTTATCACTAAATTACCTTTACACACGGATTGTATATAGCGTGTATAGTATAAATAGGTTCACTGCCTTTTAATTGTATTTTCATGACTTTTAAGCAATTTTCCTTTTTTTTTTTTTTAAATTATTGTATTTTGTATTATATATTCTTTTGTTGCTTTCTCAATTCTTTTGTTGCTCTTTTTGCTCTCTTTTTATATGCTTCTGTCTTTTGTAGTTGCACATTTCACCCGTGTATAATGATATCACATTTATTGCTTGCTTTCCCATTCCAGCAGTCCAGTCGGATTTCTAGACTTTTAAAGCCTCTCAGCTTATTTCTCTGATCTTCGGCTTTATAGCCCCGATCCCTTCCTCCCTGCCCCCAATTTCTCCTTAGCGAGATAACTACGCCCGAAACTTTTTAAAATCATATGTTTTAGGGCTAATTTTTGTCATAAAGCCCGCAAAATTGTTCTTTTATTAATAGTTCCGGTGATATGTATATAAGTGGCGGACGCAAATGGCATTCTCAAGCTTCTTCAAACCCTGCTCGAAAACCACAGGTTAGACTTCGAAACTCTATCCGGCGCGTTGGAACTGCGCTTTGGCGAGAAGTGTTTAAAAGACTATAGCAGGCTTCAGTTACAATTTCGCCAACAGAACCTCACGCAATTCAAGTTTAACTACTGATTGTACTCTGTGAAGAGCTATACGACTATTTTTATGGACAATTCCAGAGCTGTGAAGTGTTTCTTTTGGTAAAATAAATTTTATCAAATTTTCATGGGCTCTATGTGCATTCAATCTGCATGAAAAGAAAAATTCAATTACAAACCCGCATGTGCGCAACAGTATGAATACGATATAAAGTTAGATTTAGGAAGCTGGGCTGAAATTTAGGTTCTGAAAAGATTTTTGCGTAATTTCTTTCATGACTGATTTCTGCTTGAAATTAAATATTAAGGAAAAAAACTGCATGAAAAGAAAAATTTCTTTTGTTAAAGTTAAAATAAGCCTTTCGACAAACATTTTAGCACACAAGCTAAAATGCTATGATTTAAAAAAAGGTCTAGAAATACAGAATTAGCGAAGCAAAAACGAAAGTAAGAAGATTCGAGATCATTTTCATAAACATTACGCCAGTTTTTATTTGCTCATCGAATTCGAGGCTCTTGGTGTTAAATTTTCCTTCGGTAACTATTTGCGTTTTTTTTTTTTTTTTTTTTTTTTTTTTCGGTTTTTAAATAAGGGCGTCCAGAAATAATAATAATAACTTCTTTATTGATCACTAGCAGCTACGCGGCCAGCCTTCATCTGGTTTTAAATGTACCGGAAAAATCCCTGAAGGGAACACCAAACGTTAAATTTAAAAACTGCGCAGAATATTACTCTGCAGAATAACTTCATAAAAAAAAGTATTACATATAACAAAATTACAAATAAGCAATATCCCTTAATACAAATATTAATTATCCTAATAAATAAACCGTTCAGTATCCAAGAGAAACATTAAATTTTAAAACTGCACAGCATTATCGCCTTCGTTTTTCCAAGTGGCAACAGTGCTGATTTTCAGCAGTCAGCAGTCCAGTATACAACTGAATGAAAAACTGTTGCCAAAACCACATTTCTAAAAGAATGAAACTATTCAAAATGATGCGATAAAATGGAAAAGATGAAATAAAAATAATCTGATTCGAATTTTGAAAAAAAAATCGTTTTGAAGTGCACTAGTTCTTGTCTAGATGCACCTATTAGCTGACGCACAACACGAACAAAAGACACACAGACTCTTTCTTTTATCATATGGTAGAGATTATTCAGAATTATCTTCAAATCGAAATAATGCTCGTAATTCAAAAACAAATGGCTGATATTTTTGTGGAATCTAACTAGTAGCACGAGATTAAATTGCAATGCATATTTTTAAACGCATACAATACAGATAAAATCGAAAGAAAGATCTATGATTTGAATTTTAAAGACACAAACATTTCTAATTAAAGACTAATTTATTCACAAAGATTACGCTATAACTTCACTACCTAAAATGTTCAGATTAAAAAAAAGCTTTGAAAGCGTTTTAATATAATATATTAATACGCTTTATAAGCATTTTAACAATGATTTTAACAATTTATTGTGTTTTAATTTTAACAATGGTTAATATCCTTCTAAACTTCGTAGAGTTTATCTTGCTTTGAAAGTATAAACTAGTTCTAAAGGGACGTAAAGCGAATTATCACTATGTCTGAAAAGGTTTGAACAACCTTTTTATTAAAACAGAAATTCGAACATAAATGCACTTCTTGCGCTAACAGAATCAACTACCACTTGTGGCGATGTAGCTAAGGTAACTGTTAAATTCCCCTAATTTAAAACGCAGATTAGTAGTCTATGACTACACAATTAAATTTAAATCTAAGTTGGTTAAAATCTCTAACAGGCGTAACAATTCAAACATCGGACCACAGTAACGCAAAGCCGAATAAGTGCAAACTTAATAGATCTGGCAGTAACTACGTAACGTGGTCGCGAGGGGCAGAAACATGCTTTGACTTACAATTCAAGAGCCTTAGCTTATATACTCTGTAACTCAGTTTAGATTCTGGTGAGGAAACAGAAAGGAGAAGTTATACTAGTAAAGGCTCAAATTATAAATAACTGATTCATTTATTTAATAAATCTGACAACTTTCTAGATAAAACCTCATATTTTAACAACAATAGATACAAATAATTCTTTTTTTTTTTTTTTTTTTTTTTTTTTTGTAGAACAACGATGCTTTAAGAAGAATAGATCCGGAACCTCTGGTTGCAGAATCAGAACCTGATATACGACTTCACATCGGAGAAGATCTTAAGGTAAGCAAATAAATTATAGCCTCAGAAGATCTTAAGGTAAGCAAATAAATTATAGCCTCAAGTCTTCCAGCTACATTGTTCTTTTACTATTTCCAACTCTGTACCTCTTGAATGATTTCTTTTGATAGCAAACATAAGTAATGTACTAACTTAAAACAGCATTAATAAATGTAGCTTTGGAAAATCTAAACTCACAATACAAATTCTGGGCTGTGAAACGCGTGCTATGTTTCCATCTCATTAGACGAACCTATAAAAGGTAGTATGCTATATATCATATGATGTGACCAATTAGGATTCAATCTCCATCAACAAACAAATTTTTCACTGGTTGAAGACTGCCTTTTTGAAACCTCTAGATAAATGTAACTGCTCACAGGAATATTATGGAAGACGATTCTGATTACTCTTTTATTAGGTAATATCAACCATTCTTCAAGAAGAAGATTAGATGATTTTCATTGCTGATGTACGTGCTGTAGGCCGCCTTAAAGTAGTACAGTTTTAAAGATAACGTTACTGCCTATAATGTTGAGCTCTTTATAACTTCGCGCTTTTGGAAACAATTTCAAACGAGTGCGGCTCCAGTGCTACTTTGGTAGAAGGTTGCACGGATTTTTGGCGATTTACATTGGCGCAATTGTTGGGGAGGTTTTTACAGTCGTCAGCCATCTTGAAAAACTCTTGTTTTTACGCATTTTATGCATAGTAAAGTATTCGAAACTTTAAAAAGATAAATATCGTTAAAAATAATGGATTAATTTTTTGTTGAAAATGTTGTTGGAACAGCTTCACTTTAGCCCACCTTCAAAGTTTGGCGAATTTTTTTTTTTTTTTTTTGGAGCCAAAGCGCGTGAAATATGTTGTTTTGAAAAATGGTTACCATCGAGATTTTCGACGAAACTCCGTGTTTCAAAAATGGCGGCCATCTTGATTTCACCAGAAATTGTGGATAATAGAAATAAATTTTCGGCTATTATACACAGTTTTAAAAGAAAAAAATATTAAGGAATGATTAATGAAAATGATTAAGGTTAAAAGAATGTAATTTTAAAAACAATGCCGGAAAATCTCACCTTTGCTTAGCTTTCTCAAATGTAAGATAGCTTTGCATGGTATGTTACATTTTTCACAACAAACTTTATCCTTCAATAATCCACAATAGGTTATAGATCGATCCGTAACTATATGCAAAAATCTTTTCTCCAAAACAGAATTTTGCACAATATCTGAACGTTAAACAATCGCCGAAAATTGTGTTAAGAATTTTGTATTTAGATAGTTAATTTTAGTAGAATTCTAATTAAAAATGTTGTATTTCCCCGTGCAATGCAGCGCGAGAAAAAGTCTAAGAAAAGCTACGCTGGAAAAGTAAGAATACAGGGGCATATGTATTTAACTCTGAGTAAATGGATATCTCGGTAATTCACATTGAAATTGAAAAAATGTAATTGACCACTATGTTAGCTTAACCATGATTCCATCCTCTTTAGAAATCAGAAATTTACGGTTGTTTACATTGCGTTCGCCAAATAGCATGGGTTACCACATGCTTGTAAACCGGTGTGCGTTGCCACGTCATATCATTTATGGCCATTCTTGGCGATATTTTTTGGTTAAAATTCTGGGTGGGCTATACTAAAGCTGTTCCACGTTGTTCTTAAGATGGCTTGCAAATGTAAATAAATAAATTTACTTACTAAGAATATAAAATACTAAAGTAAGGTTAAATTATTACTTTCATATAACAAAGAAATAGAATAAAAACACTGCTATAAAAACATTGCGCCAACGTTTAATTGGATAAAAATATTACTTAAATTGAATATCGAGTTAAAAACATCATACCAACGTTTAAAAGAATTAAAATATTACTTAAATTCAAATACTTTAAAATAAGTTTTATAGGATATAATTATTTAACATTAAAACATATGTGACAATAAATATCTCAGCGATTTTTGAAAACAGTGTATTAATTTTTTAATAAAAATTGAAGTATACAATAAAAGAAAAATATGTACTTAAATTTTTTTTCAGTATTTTATCTGTCGTATATTGTTAAGTACCACAAAAAAAGTCGGAATCTTGATTTAGGTATCAATGAAAAAAATTTGTCGGTAAAAAGGGAGAAATGTCAAATACTTTTTTTTTTTTTTTTTTTTTTTTGGCCGTTACAGCAGTTATTTCTTCCACCGTGAGCACAATACCATATATGGCCGTCCTCAGAATAGGCTCTTTTAACGATCTTCATCTGTGATCCACATCTCTTGCACTTCATTGAAGAAGCAATTAGCGATGTTTCCTCCAAAAATTTAAAATAAATTTCTTCTGATCCTTGTAACAACTTATAAATAAATTTTTGATTAGGAAAGCCAGATTGGCCAAAATAAAGTCTCAAAGGACAATTTTTTGATTCCGATACCAATAATTCTTGATAATTACCAGTAACAACATTCATCTTCGAAACGGACATATCTATCCGCTTTGAAATCTAAGGAATTCGAAGAGATGATTACTAAAAGTTTAAAATGGCGCGGTAATGCACAAATATTCAGAAACCAATCAGGGAGCTGATTACATCACGCATAGAATTAAAGTTATTTAAATAATCATTCATAATAAAATCATTTTAAAAAAAAATGCAAAATTAAATTGTATTTTAATATTTAACAGCCATAAATAATGTTTAAAACATTAGATTAAATTTATAGATATTAAAACCAATTACTTTGATAGTAAGGTGACGTCACTGATTACATCATCCACAACATAAAATTATATCAAATATCATAAACAATAAAATTTTTATTTCAAATAAAAATGCCAAATTAAATTGATTTTTGATATTTAGAAGCCATAAATAATATTTAAAATACGGAATTTATGCATAATAAAACTCATTAATTTTTAAATAAAATGACAACAAAGTATCAGTTACCATAAATAACTTATCAGCAATGGGTTTACCATAAATCGTATCGCTCGCCAAAAAAAAAAAAAAAAAAAATCGCCAAAATCCGTGCAACCGTCTACCAAAGTAGCAACGCGGCTCCTATCGTTCACGGCTTACCCTCTGATGATTATCATATATGGCTAAACGTAATCGACAAGCGATCTCATCAGTTTTAAGAATAATGATTAGAATAACTAAAAGGTCAATATCTGCAATACCCGGCGAAGACATACTAGGATTGTATGTTCCGGTGCGTCGAGCATCTATCCCTTTTATGTCAACGTCAGAGAACACAGCTAAAGGGCAGTTCATGGTTAGGCCAAGATTTATGTTAGAATCAAAAATTAAGTTTGCAAAGATCTGGAGAGAAAAATGAACACAGAACAAGCCCTATAAGATCATTGAACATAAGATCCTTATTACTAGCAGTGAGTAGTGTGAGCCGGATTTTCTCTATGCTATCGCACCGCTTTCCACGTCCTGACTGCTTAAAGCTGTCAGGAAGATCTTGACAGCATCGTCAGATTTCACACTGCAATAGCTAGCTGGGTATTTATTCTTATCGAAATAATACATTTTAGTACAGCGACAATAAAGGCATTATGAGGATGGGATGGCCACCTCATTTGTCCGGCACATAAAACATCTTTGGCATATCCCAGAACTTGCTCTTTAAAGAGCTAAAAGCTGCCTTATTATAAGGAATGACAATTCTTGACCTCTGGTCCGCTTGATTCCTTAATGGAAGGTATGCAACGTCGCTGCAGTGCTCTTGTGTAGGTCAGAGGTAATTCTATCCATTATGAAGGGTCAGTTTTGTTTCCATTGCTTACATTTTTTTTTTAATTTTCAAAATATGTTGTGTGTATATGTGTACATATGCATGCATACATATATATATATGCAATAAAAGCAGATTTAAATATAATAATATTGTAGAAACAGTGATGGCATAGAATGTAGAATGTTGAATCCGTAATGAACAGCAAGGATTTTGATTCCGTAGAATATTGATCCATAATGAATAGAAAACTGGCAGCAGAGGCAGATTGAATCTTCATTTATATTACAATAAACACGTTGCGACCACAAACAACTTGGCACACTACTTGTGCCTATTTCAAAATATTTACATTTTTGACCCCTTTGCAGTAAGAAGAGAGCAGCAGGCAGCAGCCCAGCTAGGCCGAACGGTAAAAAGCAAGTGCAGTTATGTTCACTATGAAATCATAATTCAGAATGAGTTATTTTTGTTTCTGTATGCATTCGATTGGGTAATCAACTGTAAAATTACTGTTGGCTGTTTGAGTCTTACTTCCATTTACATTATCAGTGTTATATAACAATCATATGGTATGAATTAGTCTCGAAATGATGCAATGCAGAAAAAATTACTATTAATTAACAAATAACAAGTATTAATCTTCTTCTGTTTAATGCTTCAAATAGAACTTTTCAAGGGGTTAGTATTTAAAACATTAAATACGAATGATTAATGAGTGCCAAACACATGTTTCGTTTTTCCTGTCATAATGTGACTCAAAGCGTTGCTAATTAATTCTCCAAAAATGCTAAAAAATATTTCAACTACCCTGACGTGTGTTCGGTACCTTGCTAATTAAAAACAAGCAATAAAAGTAAATACATAATCAAACTAAGTTGAAATACAAAATGATACAAAAACAAAATTTACATAAAAATAGAAACCTAGAAGAATTGCTCAGAAAATATTCGAAAACGTTATTCTTTTTAAGAATTTATGAAAACGCAAGAATGAGTCTTTAAAACCTTATATAAAAAATAAAGCTCAATTAGAGAATTATAAGCTTGACAAAAAGAAAAAAATTTCCTAAAACATAACCTAAATTAAAATCGCAGTTACTGCTGGAGTTGGGAGATTTCTAAAACTCATTATTCTTGTATTATTGGAAACTAGAAAAATCAAAATTGCAAACAGAAGCAAAAAGAACTTACGTTTCAGACCATGTAGCAGTGTATGTATACATATATTATACGCATATATATACATATATTATATATAATA